AAGGTCAAATTAAAATTGTGGTTTCCAGTCTCTCTTATTGGAACATTACTCCCTCTGATAAGATAGCACAGTTAATTTTACTTCCCTTTGTAGTAGTCCCCTCGGCTCGCACTACCCCAAGACGGGCTGGGGGTTTCAGCAGTACTGACGCTTTTTGGGTTACTAAGTTACAATCTTCCCGACCACATCTTACTGTTCAAGTCAATGACCGCATGTTTAAAGGGCTTGTAGACTCTGAAGCAGATGTAACCATTTTCTCCTCAGACTCCTGGCCCTCTTCTTGGCCCAAGAGACAGACTGCCGAGGCCCTCACAGGAGTTGGAGGAGCACAGTGTCCTTTCCAAAGTACACTTCCCATTGTTTGCTATAGCCCTGATGGACAGCCCGCTTCTATCTGTCCCTTTATTCTTCCTCTGCCTACTATATTATGGGGACGAGATTTACTCTCCCAGTGGAATGTTCAAATTGGCACCCCTCAGGATTTTTTGTAGGGGCCACTGCTCAAACAGACCTTCTGTTAAAATTAACCTGGATACCTGGCCCTCCTGTTTGGGTTGAGCAGTGACCCTTTAAAGAAGAAAAATTAGAACACCTTAAAAGACTTGTCCAAGAACAGTTAGAGGCCGGACACATCCGGTCTTCCTGCAGCCCTTGGAACACACCTATTTTTTGTATCCCTAAAAAATCCAAAAAATGGAGACTCCTACATGACTTACGAGCTGTTAATCAGCGTCTTGTCCCTATGGGACCTCTTCAGTCAGGAGTTCCCAATCCGGCCTGTATTCCTCAAACATATCACATTATCATTATTGATCTTAAAGATTGTTTTTTTTACCATCCCACTCCATCCCGATGATTGTGCTACATTTGGCTTCTCAGTTCCTTCTGTGAATAATTGTTGTCCTATGCAACGGTATGAGCAGACTGTTCTCCCACAGGGCATGGTCAATAGCCCAACTATCTGTCAATAATATGTTGATAAGGCTCTTACGCCAGTCCAAAGAGCCTTTCCCTCATGTCTTATATATCACTATATGGATGACATTCTCCTAGCCCATCCCAAACCAGAACAACTTGATTCACTTCTCGTCTCTGTTCAACACGCGTTACAAGTTTTCGCTTACAAATAGCCCCTGTAAAGGTTCAGTCTTTCACCCCGTGGCAGTATCTGGGATACTATCTTGATACCCATATCATTCGCCCTAAAACACCAGAAATTATAATTCCCAAGACATTAACTCTAAATGACCTCCAAAAAATCCTTGGTCATATTAATTGGCTGCGACCTTCACTCAGTATAACAACTTCTCAGCTGACCAACTTATTTGAGACCCTTAAGGGTGACCCTGCTCTAACCTCTATGAGAACACTCTCTCCCCAGGCATGCCATGAATTAACACTTGTTAACCAAGCCATTAAAGA